CATGACATTTTTAGAGTATTATAGTTAATGACTAATCTGCTGCAGTAATTTATAATTCATTTTTACATCTGATTTTAGTAATTCAATTTGTGATATATTAATAATTTTGTTTTATATTTTGTATGTGAAAGAACCCCTTAATTAATTATTATTCAATAAATTAAGACCCAACAAAATAGTGAGTGTTGTCTAAAAAATCAGTTAATTGAATTGAGAGATAATATGTTTTCTAGTTGAGATATCTGTACATTTGTCGATCGTAAAAGTTTTTTTTTTTTTTTTTTTTTCTTTCCTGCAAGCCTGATTTTATTTGGCTTGGCAATAATTTTACTCATTCAGATATTGTTGTGTAAATGAAATATTGTGATATATGTTAACAAAGAATTCATATATATACGGTTATGTTGTAACACATATTAGTCAAACATTCTGATGGGTATTTAACACTTACCTTCAACTTCATAAAAAAAAAAAAGATGTGATGCATGTTAAGAAAATATTTATATTTTATATACAATTATGTTGTAACACATATTAGTAAAATATTTTGATGGGTATTTAATGATTTCGTCCACTTCCCTTCAATTTTGTAAAAAAAAAGTTGTGGTGTATGTTAAGAAACAATTCATATATTATATACAATTATGTTACAACACATATCAGTAAAACATCTGATGGGTATTTAACACTTACCTTCAACTTTGTAAAAAAAAAAAATATATATGTGATGCATGTTAACAAAGAATCCATATTTTATATACAATTATATTGTAGCACATATTAGTAAAACATTCTGATGGGTATTTAACACTTACTTTTAATTTCGTAAAAAAAATATGTGATGCATGTTAAGAAAGAATTCATATTTTATATACAATTATGTTGTAATATATATTAGTTAAACATTCTGATGGGTATTTAACACTTACCTTCAACTTCGTTAAAAAAAAAAAAAAGATGTGATGCATGTTAAGAAATAATTCATATTTTATATAAAATTATATTGTAACACATATTAGTAAAATATTCTGATGTGTATTTAATAATTTTGTCCATTTCCCTTCAAATTTGTAAAAAAAAAAAATTGTGATGCATGTTAAGAAACAATTCATATATTATATACAATTATATTGTAACACATGTTAGTAAAAAATTCTGATGGGCATTTAACACTTACTTTCAACTTTGTAAAAAAAAGATGTGATACATGTTAACAAAGAATTCATATTTTATATACAATTATATTGTAACACATATTAGTAAAACATTCTGATGGGTATTTAATGATTTCATCTACTTCCCTTCAACTTCATAAATAAAAGTTGTGATGCTTGTTAACAAATAATTCATATATTATATACAATTATGTTGTAACACATATTAGTCAAATATTATCATGGGTATTTAATGATTTCGTCCACTTCCCTTTAACTTCATAAATAAAAGTTGTGATGTATGTTAAGAAAGAAGTCTTATATTATATACAATTATCTTGTTACACATATTAGTCAAACATTGTGATACGTATTTAATGATTCCTTTTACGGTCCCTTCAACTTCCTTTGATTTAAATTGGTCGTAATACATGTATTTACTCAATCAAGTGTACATGGGGTGTTTTGAATTGGTTACTTCATGAAGGTTCCACTCCACTAATAGATATATTTAACAACTCATTTTTTCAACTACGCTTATATAAACTCATTTTTTCTAAAACATGTATGTGGATGTGCACTTTAATTTAAGAATTAAATTAAGACAAATGTTGTACAAAGAATTGAATGTATTACTGTAAAAGATGTGTTCCATTAGTGGTTCTATCAAGTGTTTACTTGCATTGAACATCTTAAATAAAAGCTGTAATGTATGTTAACATAAAATCATATATTATATACAAATATGTTGTAAGACATACTAGTCAAATATGTTTCTAAAATATATGAAATTTAATTTTGTTTGGTTTTTGCTTTAATGAAATAAGTTATCAAATTTGTTCCTTAAATCAAATTTATTACCATTAGAAACGTAATATATATGACTATATGTATAAATATATTTATCGATACCAAAAAAAAAAAAAAAACCCACTAATTTTGTTAACAGAAATCAACATTGATGACCAATAATAACCAATAGCTGAAATCATTTATTTCTCAATTGCAAAAAAGAGAAATTGTTTATCTATTTACATAAATATATATTTCTATAAATATAGTTTTCTCTCTCTAGATTTTCTCCCTAATTATATATATTATCTATTTCATAATTTTTTTATTTGAAAAAGAAAAAAAGAAGATGAATGAAATCCCAAAATTGGAAACAGATGATGCAAGATCGATGTTTCCGACACCGACGATGTTTCCGGCGAGATCAAGTGAATTCCAGGAGAGGAGGAAGGTTGAGATCGATATTGGTCTTGGCCTTGGTGCCGCGAAACTCACGCACCACCGAATCGTAGGAGGTTGTGCTCCTTTGAATCCACGATGAACTCTATCTCTACATCCGTTATGGTTGGCCCTCTGTGTGTGAGAGGTTTGAGATCTCGTTTTTTGTCTTTAATTTTGAAAAGTGAAGTTTAGAAGAGCAACAAAGGAAGAGAGAGATGGGAGGCAGATGTATTGTATAATTTTTTTGTATTGTAAATTGTATTGTATAAGTATATTTGTATATGGTATTTGTGCTTGTGGTAAAAATTAATGTAGCTCAATAAATATTTTTATTTCTGTGTTGAGTTGACGATAAGTAAGTGATGATGTGGCACAATTTGAACAAGGGGTTAGATCATAGCCATTGAATCCTCAATGGACTCTCTCCGATGAGAGGTGCCATGGAGAGGATTTTTGCCCAACTTCTTCCCCAAAACTCCTATATGTATAGATGGATTAAGTTATGAAAGAGTATTGGGGAAGAGGATGGACTAAGGGTAATATATAAAACTCTTAATCCATCTTCTTCCCCAAAACTCATATATATATATATATATATATATATATATATAGAGAGAGAGAGAGAGAGATGGATTAAGGGTTATGAGAGAGTATTGGAGAAGAAGATAGACCACTGGAGAAGAAGATAGACCACGGGTTATATATATAAATATCGCGATGGTATGTTATCCCACCCCACCCCATTGCTGCCACCTTTCAAGTTCTTACCACCATCAACAACAACAACAACTAATTTCTAACCCAAAACCCTAATAGATCGCGATGGTATGTTATCTCAACCCAACCTCCCCCCACCTCACCCAATTGCTACCACCTTTCAACCTCTTACCACCATCAACAATGACTAATTTCTAACTCAAAACCCTAAAATCAAACTAACACCACCTAATCAGACCCCCCATTTGGCGTTGTGGTGATGGTGGACAATGTGGTCCAATGATGGTGGCAGTGATGGCGGACAAGGTGGTATGATGCGGTAAGGAATGGAGGGTCTTGCTGGAGATATCGAGGCAAGAGAGGAAGAACAAGGACTCCACAAGCGATTGAAACCCAGACACATCGACGCTAACCAAATTGGAGACCAACTGGTCTGAAAAATTGGTAGAAGAACATCGAATAGTGGAGATTCGAAATATACATCTGGTGATGGTGTTTTAGGAGGTTGAGTTTGTCATCTTCTGTTCATCGGTTAGGGCTTTGAAAAATGAAGCATTGACCAATTTGTTCTTGGATTTGGAGGTTTCGTTGTTGGAGCTAGAGTTTAATGAGGAATTGAGAAATGAGTTTTGGTTTTGGTGGAATTTTACCTCTGATTCGGGCTTCTCTTCTTCATGAAGCCTTTGGGGTTGCTTTTGTTCAATCTTGGAGCGCTTGAAGAAATTTTTCTGTAGACGTCTTGGGCTAATCTCTGTCGCTTTTTTTGCAATTCTTGTTTCAGGATATCCATTTTTTTTTTTTTTTTTTTTTTTTTTTTTAATGTTATAGGTCCCTTTCTTTCTTATTCTTTCTCGGAGTTGAAGCACTGTCGATTCGTTTGGAGCCAAATCATATTAATTTAGGATTGTTCATATTTATAATCAATGTTTATATATATATATATATAGTTATCCATAGAGAGTGAAATTGGGTGAGGTGCATTTGTAGAGATGGAAGTCCAAATTATAATTTTATGATTTAAATAGGTCAAATCATAAGTTAAAGGGTATTATGGTCAGGTTATAGAGTTGGTCATAGTTAAGTTTACCAAACCTGAGAGACTGTTACTCTTCAAAAATAGACCTAACTTGTATAAAACTATCATTATGGCTAGGGTGTCAATGTAATTTACCCTTACATTTAAAAATGACAATGAAATTGAAAATGAGAGTTCCATTACCAATGTAAGAAGGGTTAGAATTAAGATTAATAGGTGCAAAGAGTATAAGCCTGGCATTCCAAACTCTACCTAAGGCACTAACCCCGACCCTACTGGACAATCAAGTCCAAGCTCACAATATTTTGTCCATAGTTAGCCCATACATATATATATATATATATATATATATATATATATATATATTCTCAATGGCTTCAATTTGAAAGGAAATTATGGTTTAACCAATATAACAAGAAGAAAATTTATGATCACAATTTAGGAGAATAAGTTTTTACCTCACTAACGGGTATCTAGCCCAATGGTATAACCTATCTATTCTCAAAGAAGAGGGGAGGGGCTCAAACCCGGTGTAGACGAAAAATAAAAAATTCTTACCACATATGCACAGAAAATAATTTTTAAATCAACAGCATTTCATTTTCATATTTCTATTTACTACCCCTAATAAACTGAACAGCCCTGCATGTAGTTCAAAACCCTTTAAAGCAACAGTACGATTCAGGGATTATATCAAACAAACTAAAACAAATGTCAAAATAAAATATATTAAAACAACTTCAACTAAATAGCTTACTATTATTACACAATTAATTGCAAGCTTACCATATGCTTTGATCATTGATTTTACTCTCAATTGGAATGACTCAAGCTAAGAATTCAAGTTTATCCACTTCTCTTCACCCACCAAGCATTCGAATTGGATTTCTGTAAGCTCGTCTCTCTATTATTCTTCTCAGAAAAACTTGATCCACATGTTTGTAGTACCATTGTCTCCATCTTCTACAGAACACAAGTGGCCAGATGATGATTCCTAACCCCACGATAAATCCCAATGCTGCACTTAGGTAGACCTCTGTCTCCAAGATTGAATGCCCATCTCCGAATATTGGTGGTGAATCTTCAGCAATATTATTGCAACTCGTGTTCAAAGGGAAGTCGCATAGTCCTGGATTCCCTAGAAATGATGTTTTTGAGAATGTTTGAAACTGGGAACCTGTCAAAATTCTTCCAACCAAAAGATTGTATGACACATTCAAGAGTGAGAGAAATGTAAGACTTGTAAGTTGTGTCGGGATCATCCCTGTCAGCATGTTCTGTGAAAGGTCTAATGACTCGAGCTTCTTCAAGTTTCCTAACGATGTTAGAATTGAGCCTTTGAGATCGCTGTGTGATAAGTTAAAAGGAACTAGTGATGTGAGATTTCTAGTAGTATCAGGTATTTCCCTTTCAAATACATTGCTTGAAAAATCAATGTATGTAAAGATAGTTAAAACTTTCACCCACTCTACCTCTTTTCCTTTGTAGGTGACCTTCACTTGATTTGAATAATACCTAAAAACATCTCCAAAAGAATCTTTTAACAGATAACCCAAATTAATTAACTTTGGTTGTGCATTATCGTTATCAATCATCATTGCCTTCAAATTTGAGAAATAACTTGATGGTAGATTGCCGCCAAAGTTGTTGAAAGCTAGGTCAATGATATGAAGATTCCACCAGCTTACATTAATTTTCCCTTGGCAATTAATGTCTCCATGAATCCTATTAGAACGCAAAACTAAAACATGTAGCCTAGATATGTTTTCCAAAAAGCACGGAAACCTATCAGTTATCATATTCTTACCAAGGTTTATGCTATGAAACAAGGATCGAATAGGAGTTTATGAGAATAAGTGAAAAAATAATGACAAGAAAATAAATAGGCACATACAAACGAGACAAGGATTTATATGTGGTTCACCCTCACAAATAGGGTTACGTCCACGGACGATGATGATTAGTATCACTATAAAGAAAAAGATTACAAATTGAAGAACGTTTTGGTTCTTCCTCACAATAATCTCTCTTCTCACACCACTCACTCAATCAACAAAGAAGACTCACTCAACACTCAAGAAATACCCCAAATAGTATATGGTTTACACAAAGAGAAAAACCCATCCAAATACAAACTTCAACTCTCTCTTGAAGATTGTACACACAAAAGGATTTTCTCACACACACACAAAACCAATATACTCTCTTGATCCGAATATTGTCTTACTCTTGGATGTCTCTCGGATGCCTTTCATCAAATGAGTGCAAGGCTATTTATAGCCAAGAATATACTTGGTATCCAAGTATATTACAAAGCTTCCTTTGGAAGCCAAATAGCACTTATTGCCTAGGAATAATTCTTGCTGCCCAAGAATTTCAAAGCTTCCTTTGGAAGCTAATTTGGAAGCTTCACTGTCACATTTCTGTAGCCAATAGATTTTAGCCATATCATAAATGAATTTTAAACAAATTTCTAACAAATCTCCACCTTGACTAAAATTCTCCACCTTGGCAAAAATTTTGAATGAACCATAAAATTCCATCCTTGGCAAAATTTCTCCGCCTTAGCAGAAATGATAAGACAACATCATAAAGAGTCTTTCTTCAACGCAATGTGAATAGTAAAAATAACGTCATCATCATCTCCAACACAAAACAAATTAATAAAGAATTTTAGTTAAGTTTGAGTCATACTCAAACTTAACCCTCGGGCTCTAATTCTTCAACCCATGCATACCTTGTGCAGCCATAAGCATACCTCTAGTATTTGTGTCAAACTCTAAATGCTTACCAAAAGCAACCTAAAAAATTCCAAGTTTGACATCTCCTTCAGCAACCATTAGCAACTGCCCACAAACCACTGGTTGGTAATGGAAAGTCATCTTCTCACCCTTGTGGAGATTAGGACGACCTTGACTTTTCCTCACATCTCTGTTGTGACCAACTACTTGCCTCCCACACATCTTAATAGCACTTGAATGGACTATCATTGCCACCAAGATTATTGCAAGTCAATATCACACCTGTCCTCATGGGTCTGCCTCCCTATAAGGACTGCTGCAATTTCGGTTGCCATCTGAAAACGGATTTCATTATCCTACCACGTTGTGTAGTCCTCTCACAACCCTTTTAAGAATTAGGATCGTAACTCCTCTTTCTAACTCTTCTTTTGCCAAAACCTTACTGAGTGAGCAGGGCCTGCATCTTAATGTGCCAAAGACTGAAACTAATCTTGCCATCAAATTTCTCAATCTTGTATTTTGTCGACATCTCAAAAAACTCCCCAAAAGCTCTGATACTAATTTGTTATGAAATAAGGATCGAATAGGAGTTTATGAGAATAATAGAAAAAATAATGACAAGAAAATAAATAGACACACACAAACGAGATAATGATTTATACGTGGTTCACCCTCACAAATAGGGTTACGTTCATGGACGATAATGATTCATATCACTATAAAGAAAAAGATTACAAACTGAAGAACGTTTTGGTTCTTCCTCACAATAATCTTTCTTCTCACACCACTCACTCAATCAACAAAGAAGACTCACTCAACACTCAAGAAATACCCCAAATAGTATATGGTTTACACAAAGAGAAAAACCCACCAAAATACAAACTTCAACTCTCTCTTGAAGATTGTATACACAAAAGGATTTTCTCACACACATAAAACCAATATACTCTCTTGATCCGAATATTGTCTTACTCTTGAATGCCTCTCGAATGCCTTTCATCAAATGAGTGCAAGGCTATTTATAGCCAAGAATATACTTGGTGTCCAAGTATATTACAAAGCTTCATTAGGAAGCCAAATAGCACTTGTTGCCTAAGAATAATTCTTGCTGCCCAAGAATTTCAAAGCTTCCTTTGGAAGCTTAACTACCACATTTCTGTAGCGAATAGATTTTTGCTATGTCATAAATGAATTTTAGACAAATTTCTTACCGTTTAAAACTTCCATCCTTCTGCAGTTTGACAATGATTTCGGAACCCGCCTTTCCAAAAGATTACCACTGAGATCCAATGTCTGTAGACTACAGTTGTTGGGAAACAAACTCAGAACTTTTCCACTAAATATGTTATTTTGCAGATTCAGTACTCCAAGAGTACTAGTACTCCTTTTGATCAAACATGATGGTATTGTGCCATTCAAAACATTATTAGATAAATCTAGAACTTGAAGGTATTTTGTATTGCATATTGATTGAGGAATGTTTCTGATGATGCTATTATTTGAAAGAGAGAAGAAATAAGCATTGGTGAGGAAATTACCAATAGTAGGAGGGATAGAAGAGCTGAAACTATTGCTTGAGAAGTTCGTGTATTCAGCAAATATTCCTGGTATTGGGATTTTCCCATGGAACTGGTCAAAGTGTAGGTCAAGGAGACCAAGGAAAACTTGAACAAAATAGGGTACTTGAAAATAAGACAGGAGATTGTGAGAGAGATTCAAGTGATAGAATATTCCATTACCAACTTCCCAAGTTTGGTTGTCAGAAAGGTCCAACTCGGCCAGTACTGATTGGTTCTTTAGATCAGGAAAACTTTCCAACTTGCAAGAAGCCAAATATAATCCTTCAAACTGGGGGATCAAAGACAAGTTTGAACCACTACCACTACTTGTATGGATTGACAAGCTGTTGTATGAAAGGTCAATGAGGGAAAGATTGCGCAGCCTATAAAAATTTTTCAGTTGTATTGAACCATTGAAGTTGTTGAAATTAAGTATAAGGACAGTAAGCCTTCTGAGTTGAAAGAAAGACATGGGAACTGACCCTTGTAAATGGTTACTTCCCAAATTGATGAACTCTAGTAGAAAGGAGGAAGCATTAGAAATTTCATCAACTTGACCATCAAATTTGTTAAATGAAAGATCAATTTGTGTCAGCGATGGAATATTCAAAAGAGATGATGGAATGGTTCCACTGAGTGAATTATGGTCCAAGTATATGATGGAGAGATTCTTCGAAAATGATGGAATTGGACCAGTAAACATTTTGTAAGCCAAATCCAAAAGAACAAGTTGAGTAAGGTTTGCAAATGAACCTGGGATTGGTCCAGTGAAGCTACAATTAAAAACATATATCACGGACAACATCCGAAGGTTACCAATAGAACTTGGTAATCCCCCGGAAAAATTTGTGTAGCGAAGAATCAAGGTCTGGAGAGCTCCATTCTGGGAAAATTCTGGAAAATAACCATGAAATAAGTCATTGACCCCTAAGTCAAGCTTATGTAGAGTTGGTACATGGAAGATGTTTTCTGGAAATGTTCCTTGCAAATTAGAATCCGTGAGATATAATTCTGTCAAATTGGTGAAGTTTGCAAAGAAATTTGGAACTGGGGCAGACAAATAGTTCTCACTCAAATTAATCACCGAAATTGACTGGAGATTCTCAAGAGAAGAGCAAAGAGGACCTGAGAGATGACACCGTGACAAGCTTAAGACTTGAAGACAAGGTAGTGAAGAAGATATGATTTTGCACCATTCCTCTCCCATGGATGATATATATACACCATCAAGATGGAGTTCTGTGATCTTCGTGAGATTCTGAACAAGCAATTTTAGATCTGAGTTCTCAAGTTCCAAGTAGTAGTTCTGAGAGAAATCCAATGAGAGCCTTGGCGGTGGTTATATATATATATATATATATATATATATAAATATGGCACAGTCCAAGCTCTTACCTTGGTTTTTTGACAATGATGTCATAGCATCTTTGTTCTTGCATTGTCAAATGCGAAATTCTAATAGGAAATCGCCAAGTGATAATTCGAATTTTTTTAAATTTTAATTTATTTTATAATTTTTAGTGATTTTATTTAATTTTAAATTGAAGACTCAGTTTAGTGAATTTGGATTTTTGTTACATTGTATATATTTTTGTGTGTAGCATTTTAAGGACGCAAGGTAGCTGCCGAAATTTAAATAGGAAAATAATGAGACCGTGTTGTTATGTGGGTTTCATTAATGAGGGGTTTTGAATTGTTTTATTGCGATGGTATATATATATATAAGATACATGTACATATTGCACCTGATGCAAAGGAATGCACTTGGGACGAAATTAGAGAAATGAGAAATTGATAAGGTGAGATTTTTGGCGGGTCCCATTTGTCATGGGTTTTGATTTTTGTTTTATGTTTATGTATTATATTATATATATATTTCTTTTGTCTGTTAAGAAGCAATGAGCTGATACACGAGATTTGGAGGGGAAAAGAAGAAAGAAAAGTAGTGGCGGGACCCACCAACTGATTTGTTTGGCAAAGAGGTTGTGGGCTTCACGTGGGTTTGGTCTGGTTTTTAGGAATGGAGTATATTGTATGGTGATGAGAAGGAGAGAGAAATGGGCTCAATTATTTTATTGCAACGTGTAATTGTTTTGTGTGTGTTGGGAAACGTGCTAGTTTTAAAAACTTTTCGAGGGATTTAAATTCATAGATCTTGATTCATTACATAGAGACAAGTTTCATACAAAAATAAAACATGATGTATCATTCAATTAAAAGATTGAATACTTACATCAAGATTTGAGTAAACCTTAGATCTCTCCTCTAAAGTGAATGTTCTCACTTATTGTAGATCCCTTAGCAAGATGCATTCTCCTTGGATCTCCATCTTCTTGGTAATTGTTTTGCCTTTAGGAATCACTCATATGCCTCCATGAATGACCTTGGAAAACTAGGCTTGTGGGAGCCTCCATTAGATGAGAACATAAACCCTAATTTTCTAGAGAGAGAAAATTTATTCCTTTTTTCTTCTCATCAAAATCACTCCTAAAATATACATAGACCATGTATATTTATAGGCAACATAAAGGTAAAGAAAAGGAAACAACTAATCCTTCTCAATCTCTAATTCACATGTCTCAAATCTAATATGATTCCAATATCAAGTTGGGCTATGAGTGAGAATCCATTGGGCCTATTATTTTATTGGCTACAATGAATTAATGATTGGCCCGGTCCATGGACCCAATTAAATTAATTCATAAATTAATTTCTACTCCACTAAAAGAAATTAATTGAACTCCAATTAAATAATAAATAACCTCTAAGTCAATGTTGCACTTTGACCCCTCTATGCATAATTAGTTATCGGATAAATAATGCCATCAATCCGACTACTTAATTAATATATTTATTTTGGTACCTTTGATTATTTCTGGCTCGATCACAATAAAACATTTGTTCGACAAAAATAATAATTTAATAAATAAATATATAATAAATCATTTTGTCTAAAATCATACGAAGGCCTTCGAATTTACTTTGTGATCAACCATAATCAATACAAAATAAATACAAGTAGCAATGATGCAAATATTGAAAATATAACCCTCTAACTATTAATTACATAACTACCCGAAGTGTCGGTCTAAGGATCCCGAAGAATCCGCCGAACAAATCAAAGTAATTATTAATTAATAAAAGAGTCTATACTTTTCTCATGCTTAAGAGTCAAATGCCATGACGGTGATAGGGAGTAATTGCATACGACGGCTCTCGCAATATATCTCAACCTAACGCGGATCCAGTTCAAGTCTTAATTAATTATGAGTCCATCCATAATTACCGACTATGAATAATTTATAATTACTATTTATATATCATGCATTGATTGCCATCACATACATATATATAAATATTTCTTGTAATTACATGGACACTATCAATTTCATAGTGAATCGAAATATAATACATTGAATTCACCAATTGTATAAAACATAAATATTTCAGAAACGTCAGGAACATATGTCAATTAATCCAAACAGGAATTTGCTATGCCAGGGCATATAAATCCCAACAGCTCCCACTTGCCCTCATAGCCAATTCAAATTACACCTAACTCCAATGTTATCCAGATGATGATCAAAATTATTGATCAATGACACCTTTGATAATGGATCAACAAAGTTGTGTTCCAATGCAATGTTCTAGCTATAAGTACATTTTCTTGCCGGATAATATCATGTAGAACATGATACTTCCTATCAGTGTATTTTGTTCATCTATGGAACCTTGGGTCATTGGTTTGGACTACTTCTGCACTATTGTCGCAATATAGCTCGATAGGCAGGCTAGTATGCTCCACAACCTCTAAATCAGTGAGATCAAACCAATAGGCTTATATTGCCACCTTTAAGGCTGCAATATATTCCACCTGCAGGTTTGAGTCAACAGTTGAAATCTGCTTGACAATCTACCAACTGATTTCCCTTCCATTAAGTGAACATACACTAAGTCATGAACCTCATAGTATCTACTTCTGATTGAAAATCAGAACTAGCATACCTGACTAGGACCATATCATCACATCCATAAATGAGTATGATATCATTGATTCTCCTTAGGTACTTAATGATATTTTTCACAATAGACCAGTTGTCAAGTCCAGTATTGGACTGATCTCTACTGACTATCGCTACTATGTAGCGGATGTCCTGTTTGGTATAGACCATGGCATATATGAGACTCTCATATGCCGAAACATATTGTTCCAGTCTCATATGCTCAATCTCCTTTGATAGTCTTGAAAAACTACTTACTAGAGAGAGCCATCCATATCAATAAAGTAAGAACTCATTCTTTGAGTTATGCATACCAAACCTGGTCAAAACTTTATCAATGTAGGATTATTAAGATAAGCCTATTTTCCTTTTACCCTGATCTTGCAAAAGCTTGATCCTAGGAATCTAGCTTACATCCTGAAAATCCTTCATTTAAAAGTAATTGAACAATTACCTCTTTATTGATGACAAAACTTCCACATCATTCTTAATGAGTAGGATGTCATCAATATATATAGAATTAGAAAAATATTGACATTCCCTTGTACACTCATGATTTACTCACTAAGAAATCTTCTGGTATCTTTTTGTAGATTAACTTGCCTTCCATAGGAATCACCCTACTAGAAAGTTCTACAAGATCCCAGAATTTATTAGAATACATAGATTCCAACTCTGATTTCATAGTAACTCACCAAAACGATCTGTATCCACATCGGTTCATGCTTCCGTGTAGCTTACTGGGTCCAACTCATGTTTAACAGGGATGTCCATAATGGTCTCACCTAAAAACATGATTCTGTCGAATTGGATGATAATCCTCCCACTACATCAATGTACCGATGCAAGAATCTGTGTAGTAGATGATGGTAACGCATCAATAAGGAATTCATATATTATTCTCAATCTCTATAATAAGTGTGTTCACATGTGGTACATCTGGCACTCATACCAAATTCTCTAACATTATGCTACTAGGTATGTGATTCATAATATGATTCTCCTATAGATAAACAGTGAGTGAAAACAATCAACTTTTATCTTTGAGATCATAAAATAATCCATCCTAGTGACATTTAGAGTAGCTATCAAATCTAGCATGCCTATGATCTGCTTCCAACTTACTTGTCCATATCAAGCGCACATGTGCAAGACTACCCCATATGTGCATATGATTCAAACTAATATTTAGTAAAAAACACAGCTCAACGGTATCCTTGAGACAGACTAAGATGGAATGCAGTTCATAATGCGCATCGATGTCATTAACGCTAAACTCTTAAATGAAAGAGATAATGTAGCATATCTGATCATAGATCTAACCATGTTAAGTGGAATTCTGTTATTCCTATTTGACACCTAAATGCATTTGGCGTCAATTGCAGAAAACTGGTACATAATACCCTCATTGACCATATAGTCTTTGCACTATCCCAAGAAATACTCATATCCTCGATCAGATCGAAGTGTCTCGATAAGTTTACCTAATATGTGTTCCACATCAGTCTTAACCTTCTCAGAAAATACCAAGAGTTTAAGACTTGTGTTGCATCAGATAAACTTATCCAAAACGTGAGTAATCTTGCTTGGATGTTCATAAGACCGCACGTGTCAGTGTGTACCGACTCCAATTGTCCTTTATGTCTATTTCATCTGGCTGATTAAGCCCTAAGAGTTATCTATCCTTCAAAACAGGGTTCACAAGTTTGGTTTAGGCTCCTCTGCCTCACTAGGTAATAAACCTTCTTTAACCAATCTTTAAATCTTATTTTGATTGATTACAACCCAAAAATAGACACCAAAAAATACAATGAGTCAGGAATAACAAATTTTCTCTTAACATTCAATCTAGAAGATGCAACATTAGTTTCTACATCCTCCAAATCTTAAGAGCTTGTGATTATAGTATATTAACCATCTTTCAATGCACCAGAAGCAATCGCATATCTATTCAATTTTATAAAACCAGTTTTACAAAATAACGATCTAGTTTTTATAAACCAAAAGTGAAATAAGAATGAGATTGCGTTTCACTTCTGTGCATAAAGATAGTTCTCTAATACTAATATCCTTATACTCTCTAATTTCAGATGTAATACTCCCACTGACTTAACTACAACCTTGGCATCAGGTCAAAAGATAAATATATATCCATATCATCAAGGCTTCTGGATTCCTGAAATCCTTACAATAAATTGCAAACATG